GAAAGAGACAGAAAAATATATCAGTTATAAGCTTTTTCTTTTTTTTCTTTCCTTTTTTTTTTTAGTATTTAAGCTTATGAATTTATCTATGCCTACTATATTCATAATTACAATTTAATATCTGCATACAAAAGCTATGTAAAAATCCATTTTTTCCCCAAATATACAAATTTTCTTTTTGGATAGTTTAAAACATTTCAATCACAGATTTCAACAGAGTTTTAGGCTGAAAAAAATATTACCAATCTAGCAATATTACTTAACACTGTTTGCAAAACAAAAATCTTCCGATGACTGTAAATCTTTTCCTATTCTGTAGTGTTTTTCTGATTCTCAGGGCATGAAAACATTATGGAGGCAAAAAAAGTTAAGTGTTTTCTCTGAAGAGAGCCTAGAGAACTAATTTGGCTCTATGCTCAAATGAAAAAATGTCAAGTCAATTAGGAAGAACCAAAAGAAAAAAGAAATGGCATAACATCAGCTCATTCATTCATGCCCTGATATTTTTTTGTATCAACGATGTCTGTGTAATTAAATAAAGTGTCTTCTTTTGTCTTACATTGTGCTCCGTAATTTACATGAGTATTATCTGCATCCTGAGGAGGGCAGATGTCTATTTGATTGTCTTGTGCATAAGGTGGGTCAGCTTTAACGGTGCAACAGAAAGCCATACACAGCATTTTACCTGCACGATATTGCTCTTGAAGGAGGCATTAATTAATGTGGAAACACATTAGTAATGCACACGTTTTGCATTTGCAAACATTTATACAACACACAGTACAAATTCTGTGACAAGGCCAAACCTTTTTCCCCTAGTCTGGGTTTTTTTTTTGTTTTGTTTTTTTGTATGTGTGTGTTTTTAATGTTTTTTTTTTTGAAAGATTAAAGTAAAATGTTTCAATTGTAAAAAATACACACCGGGCAAATCCTTACCTGGGTAATAAATATCTACATCACAGTACAATAAAATTTTTCTCTATAAAATTTAAATATGGATTATAGTCTATCACTATCAAAAGAAACACTATACTAATATTTCCATATTATTAAAATAACAGGAAAAATGAGCTTATTTTAGAACCTGATGCTATAGCCGTTGTAAAGGGCAAAGAGATTCAGATGTCTGCGCTCCCCTTTTGGAGAGGAAACGTGACTTGATTAATCACTTAAATTCAGTTCATGAAAAAGGTTTAGCCTTATAAACGCTGGCTACATTTCAAAAACCATAAGACCGATTTCATAATTTAGGACTCATGCAGCAAAAGGTCAATATGACACGAATAGGTTAGAGTTCCATAGAATAAAATGTATCACTGACGATGTCATGCTTCAAGGGTGCTCAGCAGTTCATGGAGGCTGAGTCTGACTTAGTGTTGAGGAGGCGCCAGGGCTTGCACACCTGTTCACAGAAGAGCAACTAGAAGAGCGTTGCTGGGGCAGAGCCGGGGTGGGTGATCACCCCGTAACCGCACTGAAGGCTGAGGGACGGCACTGGACTGAGGCGTCAACACGTCAAGCGCGTCATTGAGGACCGAGGCTCATTTGACTAGAAAAAGCTCTGAGGTGGCACGTGGTGATTTGAGCAGAATCATAAAGAAGAGATTTTACTTTTTATCACTGTATCTGGAAATACTGCACGTTGACACTGAAGAGCAAAGTACACTTGAGGGAGGAACACACACACACACACACACACACACACACACACACACACACACACTCCACACCGCTCATCTCCAAATGTTAACTGATTTATAAATAAGATCTCAGTTGTACATAAGTGTTCTATTCTACTGGGGTGTCACCCCACTGTGGGAGATGGTTTGAAGGTGTTTCAATTAGGTTCACGCTTGAATTGAAAGTTCTGACAATACAAAGAACAGAAAGTATTAAAATTCAGAGTAAATCCATCACAAGTGAGTTTTATGAGATGGGAGTTGTGAGATGCTCTTCGTACCTCAACCAGTGACACAAGGTATGAATTTAGTTGCTGTGACCACCAGAGTCAGGAGCCTGTGACTCCTTTTCCTGTCCACACAGGTATATTATGCGTGTCCTACTCTGAAAAGAGTATTTAGCCTTTAACAAGATTTTTGGACCATTAAAGAGGCTAACAACCCAAATGACTTTACTTGGGTCTGGCTGGGTACTGTAGATATACTGTGCTGTTTGACCAATTCCCAGTTATAGTTAATCCCCAAAGCATTCTGATTTACCTGTAGATCAGCTCTGTATTTACATTTGAATCTTGGTCTGTCTGATGTTAGGAATTCTTGTCAAACAAAATGAAACTTCCCAGGGAAGGCTGCTTGAGGAGTCCATGGGCCCCTCCATGCCTGCCTCTCATTCCTTCCTGAGGGAAAACTTCACCCACAGCACAAATCTTCTCCGAGTTACCCCAGAGCATAGACTATGGCTAGATACTTTTGTTTCAGAGTAATTCTCCAAGTAGAGTAAACACAGGGAGCTGCGATGTTAGCAAAGTAAGCATTTGAGGAGAATGTCTAGAGACTAACTAGAAAAAGCCCCCCACCCCCCAATACTACCTGTACATAAAGCCAAGGGAGATAATCTACCTATTACCTTCATGCTTATAATTTTAATTTCATCACCTACTTTCTTTCTCTGACTAGTTAGAAAGTTCTATAGTGATCTTTTTGTCTCCTTTCCCCATAAACCAGAATAACTATTTCAGTCTACTAAACATGCAACTGTTTCCCAGATTATTCCAATCCTATTGGGTTTTCAATGCTGTTCCTCTCCTTCGTTTTCTAAGGCCATGCTGCCTTTTCATTTGTATTGTGTCAACTTCAACATTATTTTGAGCCAATATCAAATATATTTTTCTTAACTGCTAATAGCTTCATACTTAATATTTAATAAAATTAGAAATATGAATATGAACGAGACCATCCAACCAGATTCTCCACTCCCCTGAAATTCATACAATAAGGATGGGAAGGGTTTATCAAGAATCTAATCTGAATGACTCATTCAACAGGTGAGAAAACCAAGACCCCAAATCACACATCTTCCAGTGATTGATAGAGCACAACATAGAATTCAGGCACCCTGACTTCTGGGCCCGTTATGCTCCACCAAATTAAAAAAAAAAGAATCAACTTGGTTTTCACAGTGACTTACATTCCTTCGTTTTTAGGTGAACCTCACTGATATGGCTTATTTTCCCCAGTATCTCCAGGATAAGGCAGTAAAAGGCAGGCAAATGAATAGTTTATATCTTCTGTGCCAGTGAAAGATGAGGTACATTCAATTGCATGGGTACATTCTTTGCCCATTTTCTGAAGTTGAAGTGATGAGGTGTCACCATTTTTTTCTGGGCACAAGCTTGCTATTCCAGCATAGGGGAGGCAGTTGAGGGGAGAGGAGATTGTACGTGCACACAGTCTGCAGGCATTTTCCATATCAGTCAATGGGAACCCTGGTAGTGCAGTGGTTAAGTGCTTGGCTGCTAACTGAAAGGTTAGCAGTTTGAACTCACCAGTTACTCTGAGGGAGAAAGTTGTGGCTGTCTCCACCCCTGAAGATTACAGACTTGGAAACCCTGTGGGGTAGTTTATTCTGCCCTATTGAGTTGTTATGAGTTGAAATGGACTCAACAGTAATGGTTAGTCGAAGTAGGATCAGGGCAACCTTATAACAGCAACAGAGAGGGTCAGTCGCTCCTGTCTATGTTTAGTGAGAGGCTATTTAATGCCTCAGACTCAGAGGAAAGATGGGGACTAGGAAACATTTGCGAGTCAAACAAAGCATTTGAAGATCTAAAACTGGCAGAAAACCATCATCAGCACATGAAGGGACTCTCATAACACCGCATTTTCCTTCAACTCAGAAATGTAATCGTGCTAATCTCTCTTCAGAATTCTTCCAGAATGAGACTCAAATTTCAGCTTGTTATTTCTCCTTGATTAGAAGATTTGATCCATAGGGAAATCTGGTGTCAGCTCAGCAAAGATGCAATCAGAGTAACTAACTTCTGGAGCTTGGGAGATGACAGATCAGATGCCATTGAAAAGTGACAACATCCTGTAAATAAGTTTGATTTTTGTGGAAATTTTCGATAAGCCTAAACTGTAAAGAAGCTTTTCTACTGTGAGGTAATGCTATGTAAATTTTAGGAAACTGTTAAGTTATTGACGTTGGTGAAGATTTCTAATTTCTTTGGGTTCACTGAAAACTTTTTTTTTTTCCTTTCCCCTTGGTTGGCCTCAATTAAATATCCATACATCTTTGAGTCAGGCTCTTGTGTAATGTGAACTATATCACTGGAGCATAAATATGATATTGAAAAGGACAGCTCAACTTTTACAAGGACTACATCTTCCTGTGCATGTTAAGTAATGCTGCTAGGAGAAAATGAACGGGGCTGAAAACACAAAATTCTTGAATAGTTGCAAATGAGTTTGGATCTTTCTCTACAAAACTGACAGCCATATCTAATCAGAGGTGATCTGTACCCTGCTAATTTGAGCCCTCCAAAAATAAGGATTAGGTCAAGATTATAATATTATCTTGGTTTTAAGGCTTCTTTTGTTTTCTGTCCTAGGTGGTGCAAATGATGAAGCACTCAACAACAGCCAGAAGGTTGGCGGTTGAAACCCACTCAGAGGCACCTAGAAAGATAGGCTTGGTGATCTACTTCTGAAAGGTCACAGTCTTAAATTCCTGTATCGTTGTTCTACTCTGCACTCATGGGGTCGCCATAGTCCCAGCTGACTAGGTAGCAACTAACAAGAGCAACAGTCTTCTGTGGCGCCATTTTGCTTGCTGAATCTCTGATGAGGGACAGATGGGAGCTGGTGATGACTTGGTGCTGGTGACTTCATGATTGTTCCCCACCCCCGCCCCCCCACAACTGTAAAGCTTTCAGAGCATTCACATCAAAGGACTGGAAAACAAAATGCTATAGTTACAAGTACCCGCATTTAAGGGGCAATTTCATCCATGTCTATGTCAAGAAATATCTCCCTTTCTTCCCCAAATAATCACCCCCCAACACAAAGAAACAAACAAAAAAAAGAGCTAGGCAATGGAATGAAATGACACCCCGTAGTGCTGTAGGAATTATGAGAATGAATTCAGTCTGTCTAATCTTCGAACACTTCCAAGAACAAAGGGGGGAAGAGTTCCGTGGGGCATTCCACCTTCATGTGCAGGAAGCGGCTGGCATGGCAGGCTCCAATCATCCGCAGATCTGTTACCTTCATCAGGAGTTTTGGCCAAAAGTGTGTCACATGGTGTTTTCGGTAATTGATATAGTGTTCAAAGGCCAGCAGAAAACTATCTTGGTATTTTTCTATTCTTTCAACACAGGCGAGCCCTGGGCGATCTGAGGGGATGAAAGAAGATGGATGTCAATTTGGAAGTTTTGGAAAGAATGTTAATTCAGAGATGGAAAGGAGAAGCCTTGTCTTGTCCTATCCAAGGTGAGCAACCTGATCAACGGCTAATTGAAAGCTTGAAAGTTCCTAGAGGTTCCTAGAGGTGCCTAGAAAAAAAGGGCTGCCAATCTACTTTGGAAAATAGCCACTGAAAATCCCGTGGAGTACAGTTCTACTCTGAGACACATGGATTCATGAGTCAGAATCAACTCAATAGCAAGTGGCTTGGTTAATGGGACAGACTCACAGTCTATGTGGGGATTCGCCAACTCTCAAGAGTGAGTGTGGATACAACCTGTGAACCCTGGGGTATCAGACGAAGATATATAACTTATGTGGAGGGGTTCAGTGTTCTGATCAGATGTGTCCCTTTGGTTTAGACAAATTACCTTCTTCAGTGTGGAAGGGAGCGGCTCGCTCCTAGGAAACGCAGCAGATGGTTAACAGAGAGAACTGAAATGCTCTGCACAATGAGGGGAAGATTTGCACTGGCACTGGCTGCCTGGGAGAGAGTGGAGGACAAGCATAGGCATGAGGAGAAAGGGGAGATGGGAGAAGAGATTGGGAACATCCCAGGAGGCCTGGGAACCAAAGGAGGAATGACAGATAGGCAAAAGACACATAGCAGTTTTTCCCTGGTTTGTTCTCTATAGCTCCAGTCAAATGAATTCATACTGCAAGCGTATGTAGCTACCTAGAAATCTAAATTGTTGTTGTTAAGTGCCATAGAGTCAGTTCTGACTCATAGCAGCTCTGTTTATGGTTTTTGAGGAGCAGCTGGTGGCTTTGAACTACTGACCTTATGGTTTGAAGTCCAGCGCTGATCTTACAAAGGCACGCCAGGATCCTAAATAAGTTTTGCTTAATTTAAAGGACCACCACATGCCTATCAGTTTATTGTACTGTGATGGCTTGTATGTTGCTGTGATGCTGAAAGCTATATCCCCCGTATTTCAAATACCAGTCAAGTCACCCATGGTGGACAGGTTTCAGTGGAACTTCCAGATTAAGATGAGGAAGAAAGGCCTGATGGTCTACTCACCAAAATCAGCCAATGAAAACCCTACGGCTCACAATAGAAGACTGTCTGATAGAGTGCTGGACGTTGAGTACCCTAGGTTGGAAAGCACTCAAGATACACAATTGTTGCAACAGTGGATTTGAGAATACCAGCGATTGTGAAGATGTTATAGGACAGGGCAGGGTTTCATTCTCATGTTTGTGGGGTCACCATGAGTGTAAGTCAACTACCTGGCAACTAACAACTAACAGGAGGACACTATGTTAAACTCAGAAACACGAAGCCATTTTGTCCTAAGTGGAAAAACAGCCATCCGAAAGGAAGGATTAGGGCTAATGGCAGCCCCACTTTCTGAGTTTAAACAAAATCCCTTTACAGAAGAAAGGCTAAGTGGAGAGAGGGCTGAGCTGTGTTGGACGTCCCAGCCTCAGCCATCTTGGCTGTTTCAAGCCAGTACGTTTTAAGGGGATACGTTACATAGTAATAGATAGCTGAAGCTTCAGTTGCAGCTGAGTTAACAACAGATTTTACACCTCATACATGGGTTCCAGTGTTCTACTCACACTCGTATTCTGTATACATATAGAAGGAGGCAGGCTGAGGAGCATCCACTGAAGGTGGGAAATTTCGTGGGGTTGTTCAGATGGCTGTTTTGACTACCATGGGGGACTGGAAAAAATATCTGACATCTGACATCCTCCTTCAGTTCCCAGTTCATTGGTAAATCCCTGATTGCTTGTTGAAGGAGAGCGAGATACAATTTTGAAGCTAAACAGAGACTGAAAACTCTTTAAATGACTTGAATGAACACTATACAGTCAAAAACTCTGTGCAGACTTACTTCATGAGTCTGCCTACTCACCTGAAGACATGAGCAAAACGGCTTGCAGAAGGGCTACTTCAGTGTCATCCAGGTTGAAAGAAGAAAGGGACATGCCCAGGTCAAAGATGGCATCTGACACTACCCCAAGACCCCCGTTTTTCAGCTGGCCTCGTGTTACTGCCATTTCTCCATTCAGAGTTAAAGTCTCACTTTCTGGGTCATAGCGCACCGCAGCGCGAAGAGACATGATCTCCATGCAGCAGCCTTTGAGGAGGATTATCTGGTCTTCACATGGCAGCTGCAAAGAACCAGCCCAAATCAGCAAAGAACAAGTGGACAAGTGTCAGTCAGGAAAAACACGGAGTATCTTAAAAGCAACAGAAACAACCTTCTCTGATTTATATTATCATCTTGGATTCTTTCAGAATGTGGTTTTTCAATTTCCTACTTGGCTGCACACTCTCAGGACCATCTTTAGGACCCCAAATTGGTTGTAATCTTCATCAGCTTCAATCTTAGTAGTTTGCATTTCTTTTATGAGAGATATATGAGTATTGCAGTAAAGTGTGAAACTGTATTCTCCAGTTTGGAGTTTGCATTATAGTCCCTGACTAACCCCCAGCTGATAACTATTAGAAGACAAGGTTTGTATTAAACTCACCTGTTTCTCTGATCAATGGTACCAGAATTGGTATAACAGAAATAAATCAGATTTCTCTGTTCAATGAAATGTTAGTCATTTTGTATCTCATTACGAAAAAAATCCAAAAGGGATCAGTTTGCTCATTTGTTGTTAAGCGCCATTGAGTCAGTTCTGACTCATAACCACCCTGTGTACAATAGAACGATCCTGGACCATCCTCACAAGTGTTGCTATGTTGGAAGCCCATTGTTGCTGCCACATTGCCAATCCATCTCCTTGAGGGTCTTCCTCTTTTACTTTGAAGCTCTACTTTACCAAGCATGATGTCCTTGTCCAGGGACTAGTCCCTTCTGATAACATGTTCAAAGTTAGACTTTTATAATTTGGTGTAAAAAGATCTTTAAATGCTAAATTTTTTACAGAGCTATTTCTGATTACTACTTTTTTGTGGACTTCATTCATGTTGATGTTCCCTTCTCATGAACACTAAGGATTTATTCTGAGATGCTACCATTCTATCATTCTTTGTCTACAAGAGAATTACCCAGTGAGTTGGGTAATTCTGGTGAATTTCTGAGAACATTCTAGGAATTAAGATTACTGAGATCTGATCTCATCTCCGTCCGTAACTCACTGCGTGACCTTGAGCAAGGTGTTTTTTTTTAACATCTCTGGGTTATGTGCATCTAGTTTTTTGCTTTTAAGAAGCCCAACAACAATCTTGTTTCAGAAAACAGAGGTTTTTTTTGACAACAAGCACAGTTGTCAGCTAAACAGTAGAGTCAGTTGTTGTTTGTTGGAACTACATGATAGAAATTTTGGGATGAACAATACTAAATAGTAGACAATTAAGTTTAACCTCATTTAATTATCTTGCTAATTCGAATCTATTGATAATTTGAGAATGTGATGGCATTAGTAATAATAAAATATAAAAAGGACTTGCTAATAAGCAAAATAATAAAACTCCCATTTTTTTTGGGGGGGTGGGGAAAATGTTTAATTAAATGTTACTATCAAAATAATTTCAAAGGCTGTTAATGGGTGTTTTTGATGAATGCACCTTATTTAATCGCTACATTAATACAATGAGGGAAATATTTTAATTCTAATTTTATTTACAGATGTAGATACCCAGATACTGATGGGTTAAATAACATGCTATGAGTCACATGAATGTTTTGTGGGTTAGGCTGGGATTTGAAGCAACATTTGTCAAATTTCAGTGTTCAAGAGATGCAGACAACAGACTTGTAAAGCACTTGAGGTCTGATAAAGTTTCATAAATAATAAATGCATCAAAGCTACATAATTTCGATCTCTTCATTAACATTGGTACAAATTCTTTTGGGGAAACCTCTTGGAAACACTTGACTAGTTCAATTAGGATATTATATAAAACAGAAAGTCATAATATGGAATTACATTTAAAATACAGTATCTCTCATACATTTCACTCGTGGGTCTAGGCACCTGACCATTTATTTCCAAGCTGACTAGCTTTTTCTACAGAATAAAAGTCATTCCTATTTTATTCTGGAATCCAACATGTATTATTTCTCTGCTTTCCACTATTTAACAAGATCATTGTGGAGCAAACTTTTGCTACCAAGAAAGAAGAGGCAGGAGTGGACTGTTTCCCTTGGACCCAGGATCCCTGCCCTGTGAAGCTCCCAGATCCAGGAGAAGAGCGTTGCTAAGATATGTGACTGTCTCCAAGGAATTCTAGGCCTACAGATGCTGAAAGGGCATAAGGTCCTTTCCGCAGAGCTGACAGAACAGAAAGTTTTGCATTAAAGTTGTCTTTCTGAATTTGGACTTCTAAACTGTGATAGAACACATTGCTATTCACTAGAGACATCCACTAGCGGTATTTCTGTTACAGCACCACTAGGAGACTATCATGGATTGCATTGCATCCCCCTAAAATATGTCTCAACTTGGCTGGGCCATGATTCTCAGTGGTTAGGCAGTTATATAATCAAGTAATCACCCTCATGATGTGATCTGGTATATGATCAGCCCTAACCTGATGATATAATTCTCTTACATGTTGCAACTCTTCAATTTTATGATGTTAATGAGACTGATGGAATCTATAGGGTTAGCTTATATCTTGAGTTAATCTGTTTTGAGATAGAAAACAGATTAAATAAGTAAGTAGAGCTCAGAGGGACCTGTTGCCACCAGGAAAGGAGCTGTGAGTGGAGGGCATCCTTTGGAACTGGGCCCCTGTAGGCGAAGCTCTTAGATACAGAGGAACATTGATCCACGAAGTGTTGAGATTGCTAAGGAATTCTGGGTTTAAAGATGCTAAAAGAGACAAGATTCTTTCTCCAGAGCTGATAGAAAGAGGAAGACTTCACGTAGAGCTGGCACTCTGAACTTGGACGTTTAGCCTCCTAAACTGTAAGGGAATCAATTTTTGTTTGTTCAAGCCATCCACTTGTTATTTCTTTTACAGTAGCACTACAGAACTAAGACAGAATTTGGTACCAGGAGTGTGCAGTGCTGCTCTAACAGATACCTAAAATGTGGAAGTGGTTTTGGAATTGGACAATGAGGAGAGGCTTAATAACAAAAGCCTAGATTGCCTTGGAAAGGCTGTTGGTAGAATGATGGATGTCAAAGGCAATTCTGGTGAGGGCTCAGAAGGAAGTGAGAGGAGCTGTAATACGGGAGATGGCACAGATGGCGAGAAGCAGGGGTAGAGAAACTGCAGCAGCAGAACTAGGTGATTACACGAGATTGCACAAGAGCTGACTCACAGAGTGAGAGCTGAGAGTCTTTGTGTAGGAGGCTTCTTGGTGGAGTGGGGTGTCTTTGGGCACTTGTTAGAGGAGTTCGGCTTTTTCACCCAAGGAGCGAGAGAGCTGAGATCCTTCAGGCCAAGGTTTGGTGTTGTGGGGTGCCTCTGGGCACTTATTTGTAGAGCTAAAGAACTTTGTAACACTTGATTGAGTAGAGCAGAGATCAGCCTTACCTCTTCTAGAGAATAAGGGACTAGGAAGCAGAAGCTAAGAAGCTGCTTCATTCTCATAATGTAGGGTCAATGGCTTCTGAGGCTCTAAAGGTGGGTCCAGAGTTTCCTAGGTTTCAGAGCTGGATCTTCATCAACTGAGTTCCAGAGTGTGGAGTTGTCATTAAGATAGGGATACCATTCAAAGTCAAGGGAATGGACTGCTGTGCCCCACGGGTCAGAATGGAGCCTGCTGGGGACTAGGGAGTTGTAGTCACCACTTTGTGGGACTCGGAGAATGGGGCTTTCACAAATTTAGGGAGCAGTGGGCCTGGAGGTCAGAGCTGAAACCCAGGGTCTAGGGGCTTCTACTAATAATCCAGTGAACACGGCCAACACCTAGAGCAAGGATAGAGGAGTATTTTCAAGCATTGAGAGCTAATGTAAAAAAAAAATTTATTGTGTTTTTAACTTAGTTGGTGCCTGTTATTCCATCTTTCCCTCTAATTGTTTCCATTTGCAATAGAAATGTCTACTGTGTGCCTGTTCTACCATTGTACTTTGGAAGACTTTTGGGGTGATATGATCGGGGAAAATGTTTGCATGTGACAAGGAACTAAATTTGGGGGGCCTAGGGTGGAATGTATTGCTCCAAATATGTGTCAACTTGGCTGGATTGTGATTCTCAGTGATTTGGCAGTTATGTAATGATGCTGTGGCAATTATGTTATGATTCCCCATTATGTGACAAACCAATAAGAGAATTAAAAGTGCACTGCAACACCCTTTTCTCATCGCAACCCTGATCTGATATGAAGGGTACAGCCTGCAACATCTTTTATCTTAGAAAGGTAAAAGGAGAGGGAGGTGAGCAGAGGCAGAGGGACCTATTACTACTAAGAAAGAAGGCCCAGGAGTGGAACTCATCCTTTGGACTTGGGATCTTAGAACTGAAGCTCCTAAATCCAGGAAGATATTGATTTCATGATACACAGAGAAGACCAAGGAATGTTAGGCTGACAAAACCTTCTTCTAGAGCCAGCAATCCGAATTTGAGCTTCTAGCCTCCCACACTGTGCAAAAATAAATTTCTGTTAAAGCCAAAGGGGAAAAAATTGTGATTTGCTTTTGTTTTGATTCTAATGTGTATTTCTCAGTCACATTCTTGGGTTCTTGGTTCAAGTGTATAGTGTTGTTGTTAAGTGCCATCCAGTTTTGACTCATAGTGAGCCTGGTGGGTTTGAACTGCCAACCTTGTGGTTAACAGTTCGGTGCGTATCTTACAGTACCACACCACGACCCTATACAGGATTGGCCGCTGGGTTTGACCCACCAATCTTGCCACTCAAATGGACCTTGTAGTCTAGTGCATTATCCTACAGTACCATACCAGGACTCAAAGTGTATAGTAGGAAATAAAAAACTCAGGTAGGACTTCTGGTGTGGTGCTGTAGGATAAACACTTGATCACAAGGTTGGTTTGAACCACATTTTCGAACTCACCAGTCACTCCTCGGAAACCCTATACAGGGTCTCTATGTGTCAGATCCCACTCAATGGCACTGAACGACAACAGTACTCTATGTACCAAGGAGTACATACATACTTATATGTATGATGCCTGGTGTGGTGCTGTCGGATCAGCACGGGACTGCGAACCACAAGGTTAGCAGCTCAAACCCACCAGCAGTTCCTT